CTCTTGCATTCATATACAGCTTTCACACCACCAGATAATGAAGAGACAGGAAGGAGTTAGAATAGTGCTTTTTGAAAATGGAAGCTTGGAAAGCCCCGCTCACAAGCCTGATAATTTCTGCCAGGTCTGCATTCTTCTTTTTGACAAAGCAATGTTTGAGAGCCATATCCATGAAGGGAAAATGTAAGTGTCGTTGTTGAATTTCCTTTGCTGGAGTAAAGAAGTCCATGTAGACAGCAATGCTTTCTTCCAAGAGGTTGTTTGCATACACAGTAATACAACACTGAAGCTCTGCAAGTCGTTTACTGTCGTTCTTTTAAATAACCTGGAAATAACAAAAGCACATTTTGCTAGATTCTTTCTGCATTCATATTTTCGGTGGGAAAAGAGTAAGTGTGCACTTTGGGTTCCTCAGGTCCACTCAATATAACCAGCTTGTTGGAGGTGAAATTTTTTCAATCTTTTCCAAATGAAGTACTTAAGCAAAATGCCATATTTAAAACATACTTTCACTTTAATTCTAGAGATCTTTTCAGCTTGGCAGAATAATTTTTTTTAAAAAAAAAACTTGTTCCTGAAGGTTTTTTAATCTTGTGTCTATTGTTTTTTAATAAACCATTATACTTCTCTACTTGCACCTCCCAGCTTCCTCACTACGTCACACTGCATTTTTCCCTGTCACTGTAGCTCCCTAGACCACTAATGCGGCTTCTCCTGACTGACCTGACTTCAGGATATGTCCAGCAAAGTGAAGGTGTGTATCTGATACATGGGCACACTAAGGGCTTTACTACTCAAGAGAGTCTTCTGTGCAGTTCTCCAGAAAGTAAACTGCTTGCACATTGTTCATTTTCAAACTTGGAAGTACAAGGACACCAGATGTACAAGGTAAATACCACGTCATGCCTTAGTATGGTAAGCCTCAAAGGACTTGATTGGGAGTAGAATTCTGGGGAATGCATATCCCTCTAAGAAGGCTATCCTCTATAGCAGAGGTAGGAAAAGCATCCCCACCATTAGCAGCAGGCTCATAGACTATATCTAAGTAATTCTTTTTCTTGAAAGATGTGCTCTTTATTCTCTTTTCTTGTAAAAGAACCTCCAAAAGGCAATCTCAACAGTCCAGAAGTATCCTGTCATAAAATTCCAGTCTGAATACAGAAAGTCCATAAAAACGCAGAAATCGCACAAAGTGTTCTTCAACTTTCCCACAGGAGGTGAAGAGATGCAGCTCTAGAAAGCAGTTCTGGACCTCCCACTTTTCCATCTCATGCTTTCAGGTTTCCCATGCAATTGTCATTGAGGTAACATTGGTCAGGATCCCACAGAAAAATTGTTGGGCTACAGGGGATGCTGTTTTTTTTCCCAGCACGTATATTGACCAGTAAGTCTTCCCTTTGAGACAAATTTTGCACAGACTCTGTGGTAAAAGCAACTTAACAGAGAGCACTTTATTGTCAACATGAGCTCATAACTGGAAAATATAACCCTTATTTTTTTTCTTCACTAAAACTTCTGAGAATCAGTTCCTTACCAATGTCTAGATAAAATAATTACTCAGGAAAAAACGCAAGTAAATTCTTATACAGGCAGTTTAGGCAGTTCTAGAATTTTAGTGCCAGATCTGCAGTAGGAAAAGTGAAAAATATAGAAACGTAGCCATGACAGATACAGATTTATTTATTTATTTATTTATTTATTTATTTTTAAGACTGGAATAATAACTTGGCACTAGCAAGTAGCACAGGCACAAAGAACCAAGCTGTTATATAGTCACTGTATTTTTATGGCTTCCAGAAGTCAGTTTGGTACCCAGCCTAACTTGAAGTGGATGTAAGCCTGTTCTAATTTTGGCTACAGTGATGGTCAAGATTCTATGCCTCTGATTGCTGCTTCTAACAAAATGCATAACAGTGTTTAACTTAGTATTTACTCTTTAATAAATATAACCATGTACTCAAAATTGTATGTTCCATTCTCAAACACATACACTATATGCAACTTCCAAATAGCTGGCATTAACTTTAGAGTGCTGAATTATAAAAAAAAATATAGCCACTAAAAACAGTGACGTTAAGAAAACAGATACAAGGGAAAAAACTCATCTATTTTATTAGTTTTTCTTTGTTTTTAAGCTTGAGCACACAACAGTCTTCCATAATCTGTAGTCTAAACTTAATAAGGAATGGTACTGAAAATGGAATGTTAAGATACAATGTTTCCTTCAGTCATTTTATGATTAAATTAGTTTTCAATGTAGCAATGCAATAAGATTTATTTTATGATCACAGAAGTATACCATACTATTTCTTACACTGTACGCTATTCCCAGTTGTTATACCCTTATAGTAAAAAGTTGCCTTTTGTTAAAGAATAGACTGAACAGAAATGCTCTTGAATGTTTAAAATACTTTCTAAAAACCAGCATGTATATAGTACTGTAGGTTTTACCAGAGGTGTATAATTTTTCAGCAATACGTCTTAATGCTAATTTCCTGAAGGAGCTTTGACTACAAAAGGCATGAATATGTTTTCAAAGGATGATGGATAAATTGGTGGGTGGTAATATAATATATCTTAGGCAGCTGATCAGGGCTTTTTATCCTCTGCTTGTCTTTTAGTTATACACAATTTCAAGATAATTATGGTCTATAAGAATGTCTTTTCCCCTTCCTACTACCAGCAATATTTGTCTTGGTTATAGGTTCAAGAAACTTCCAATCACATCATAAAATTAGAATAGGACAATTATGGCATCTCAGCACAGAACTGAACGTATAAACAGACTGACCATACAATATGGCCATAGGGCAGTTAAGGAAATGCCTTTATGTAAAATACCAGTTAATTAGAACATTAGCTATAGAATATATAGAGTCCATATCTGAATTTTGTAAAAAAAAAAAAAAGTTGATCCCTAAAATGTATAATTCAGGTTGATATGTAGCAAATCTATGTTGCCTTTCCAGTAAAGAATACAGTCCAGATACAGAAAATAAATTAATTACTAATGTCATTAAATAAAATGCAATGGTATTCAACAGTCAAGATATGTTATATTAAAATCCTGACCTGGTGGAGACATCCAAATTCCAAACAGTACATTTTTATGTCAGGAGAGGACTTCTTGAGGCACCTGAAGGTCCTCTCTTTTAAAAGTCAAGCAGGACAGTTACAGGGAAAACCCCTCTACCTCTGTGATTTGGAGACCTTGGCCAATGCCAGTCTTAGATCAACTTTTTCCAGGTGAGGCAATAATGTTTTTAGGTAACACATACTGGCATTTCAAGAGGTGCCTAAGCTTTCCAAGTGTGAAAGTACGTAATTTTCTAGATTGAAGTCTAGCATATCACAGGGTTACTTCACTGAAGCAATTTCAAGACAGCAATACAAATCGGAGAAATCAACTCTACTGTGCCTTGTCTGTTAAGCAAAGGGAGTGCTGAATACTCAAGGTAAGAGTAGAAAAGCATAGGCAAGAGTACTATTGGTTATAAAAAGATAAAAATGGAGGAAAAAGAGAAGAAAAAATTATGTTTTCCTCAACTTTCCTGTAGTGATATTGTCCATCCATTTATAGTCTCTCAGAGTAACACCACTATGGAGTCACAACAGTGGACTGCAGTATTATTACCTAGTGTCTGCTCCTGAAAAGCAAGAAGGAAAACTTACTCCAAATCAGGCAAGACACTTCAATAGGTCACACTGAACTAACCGACCACAGACTCAAAGTGGTACACAAAGGATAGATGTATGTAATGATGTCTGTTGATTAACTCGTGAAAACAAAGAACAAGACCTAAGAAAAATATTATGTGAAATGAAAGAAGAGTAAGACATATGCTAGCTACTCCATTTTATGAGAAAAATCATACAATAATGTCACTGACTTGATAATCAGTTACCTAAACCCAAATATTATTTTAAAATATAGCATGAATTACACAATTCATACTTCACAAACAAATTGTAACCTATTTGTTTAGACTATATTCTAAACCACACAAGCAAATGATCAAAATTTCCCCCCTAAATGAACCCTCTTCAGGTTCAAGAGTATAAAAATTTATTAGATTTTTCATAACCACAATCACATCATTTCATTAAGAATATACTTTTTCTTTAATACTGAAGATAATATTGAATAGATAAGGCATTGAATCTACCATCATTAGGTAGGAAAAAATAAAAGTAATCATTCTTTTCCAGAAATAGTCTCTGAATACTCTTAAGGAAATAGCCAGACTTCACTTGATGCAGAAGTAATCAGTAAATTATATGTTACTTTTGATATTAGAAAAAAGCTGCCTTAGAAAGACATCAAATATTTAATGAAATTTTGTAAGATTATCCTCACACTTCAGCATTTTTTTGCAGTGTTGATCAGGCTTTTCCCCTTATATAACTTCCTTATAATGCAAACTATCAGTTTTGATGAGGAACTCACTGAAGTCTGAAAGGAACCTTTCTATATGACCTGATCCAAAGCTGACCATGTTTCCTAGTAGAAAAAAGATAGTCAGAATCAAAAGTATGTGTAAAGATGTGAAATGATATTTTTCTTTTCTACAGGAAATGACAATAAGAATCTACACAAACTATACACTGTTTCTACCACAATATATTGGAAGCAGCTTAACTACTCTTCCTGATAGGCAGCTGGAAACTGTAAACAGTTTGGTTTACTAAAACCATTCAACTAAGCCAGTTGGTCTGTCTGGTTTACATCCATAATCAAAATAAAGTACAAATAGGCTCCTAGCCTGATTTGGCCTTGGGAGGATCTTACTTTGTAGTCCATAGAGGGAAGTTAGTGAGCTAAATTTAATTCCCAAATCTGGCTAGTGTAAATACTCCTGCACTTCTTATGAATCTTATGATTCACATTCTTATGAATCACCAAGATTAATTAATTTCTTACTACACAATACACACACTTTAAAATGTTTAAATTCATCAAGAGATTACAGTCTTACTTGTCAAAAGCGGTGAGTCTTTACCTTTAAGATGCTGTCAGGATGCTCTTTAGCGGAAGCAACAAACAACTCATGTCCACAGACAACTCCCTCTGCGAGAAAATACTTGAACAACAAATTGGAGTAAAGACCGTATTTATCTTCTTCTGCGAAAACAAGAATGGTTGGATTTTTTTTCCTTTTTTGTTAGAAAAATTACCCACCTGTATTTCCACAGCACTATAAAAGTCCTCTTTAGGTCTACCTCCTAAAGTATATAATGTACAACAGGGATAATAGGTAAAATACGATTCCAAAGCTTTGAAAATAATGCTTGATAATACTGTATTCAGAATTTTTCAAGCTAGATAAATAGTTCCCAATCATGTATTTGATTCTAAGATATGGATGGGATACAGCAATAGTGCTATTTCCTAGCAAGGTTTCCCATCAGTACCAACTAAGATTACTGAAATCACAGTTTAATGGAAAGGGGTTTTGTTTATTTGGGAGAACTGTGTCAATATTTACATTCTTAAAGCTTAAAATAGTAATCAAATTTCTTAAAATATCTATTCATTTATGCTTCTCAAAATTTAATCATACTTGGCATGCTAAAGCTATGTAAAGAAAGGCATCATTTCTTACAGAGACATTCTTACATTGCATTTCTTTCAGGGCTGTGACAACTAGAAAAATAGGCAAAGCAAATGGATATATTGAAAAAAACCAGAATTTGCAATGCTGGTTTTGAAAGCTATCCAGAGCAAAATCACAAACACATTCAACGGACACATGAACTTACAGTTTAAGAAGTGAGACCGTACTTGTTAACAGACATTGTAAATACTAGCCTACCAAAAGAAAAATACAAATTCTCGCTGACTTCAGAAAGGCTAATATTTCCTCCAGCTTCTTTGTTAAATATCAGAAATCATCAGAATTAGAAAGTCTTAATGGGCTTCATACAAATAAAACTTACCATAACTATGGGGGAAGTAAATGGGTAAATAACAATTGAAATTTAAACTAACTCTGATTTTCTCTATTTTCAGGAAATGTAAACAATAGCAAAGTTAATTCTAGCAGAAAAAAAAATCCTAACAATATATCTACCCAATTAATTATCCAGTAAAATTTTAGATCATGCCCTTTGGAACAACATACTTTTGACACAAGGTTTCACTTTTTCATCTGTTAATCTGACTGCTGGAAGCTAACACACAGAGACGTTGTGGCTGAAAAATACAGAGATAGATTTTCTTTATAGAGAACCAACAACTCTTAATCCATTCTTTGTGCAACTTGGAAACCATTTCCTCCCTATTATGAATCACGTATGAAAATATTAAAAGAAAAACCACAAAACCAGTAACAAAGGCTGAAAACAAGAAAGTTGTCATTCATCTCTAACTTGTACAAAATACCAAAGAAGAAAACAAAAAGAATATAATTTTGACAGGTACATGAGTAGTATGTTTTGGAGCTTAAGAGTCAAAAAGAACCAATGAAGTGGAGTGGGAGGAAAAGAAGAAAGAAGATGTATATCCAAAAAGGAGAAAACATTAATAGCAATGGCGAGACTTAAGAAACAAATCATAGAAAAATAGCATTGCACTACTACACGCCTAATATCACACACAAGTAATGACACTTTCAGTGCTTAGATTAACAAGAGAAAGAAACACAAACCACAAGTTTCAAATTCTCTGGAAAAGGAACACTTCTCCCAAAGACATGCCCATGGTATATCAGTCAAAACAGAATTTATTTTCGGGTTTTTTTTTTAACACTACTTTTACATTTCATATTTGGGATACTTTTCCTTAAAAAGGTGAAAGGTATACACTTAAAATCTGAAAAATTTATTTCTTTAATTTTTTTTCTTCTTTCTTCTTCAGACTAATCCCTAAACATATAGCATCAAGACTACCTACTTTGTTGTTACGGAGAAATACTAATTTAATAGTTTCTCTTTCATTAAACCCATGAAACGAACTAGAAGTGACTCATGCTGCATAACACAGTCTTTAAGACAGGAAATTACATAAAATTGGACAAATAAGCCAAAAGGAATAAAATAGTTACAGCACTATTGCTACTTGTACTAGCCATTGATATATCCCCTTTATTGTAGGGTCTGAGCATTTTAAGAACTCAGACTGTATTAATATAATTTACCTTTGATACTGTTAAACTGCTTAGTAGGCCATATTAGCTTTCTAATGTACTTCCAATGACACATATATATTTTTCTAAAATAACAGTATAGTGAAAAATACGGACAGGTCAGTATTGTGAAAAGCACAATACTGACAAAAGCTTGCTGTTGACAGCTCTGGGTTCCTTATTAAAATTTCAGCAAGACTGATTTCCAAAAGCATTACAGAATTACAAACTGCAATTTCCTTGAAAGTTTGGAGCTCTTAATTAAATATTTTATATTGTTTGCTCTCACATGCTTAAAGAGTCATCAATATTTTTACTGAAAAACTGTTTTCCCAGTAACTGAGCTCCACAAGTTGTGCTGCGACAGAGGATGTAGATCCATGTGAGACAAGACTCAATTCAGATAAAACTGAAGCACTAAAATTGCAGGAGCAAAGAGCAGAATTGACACAATCTATAAAGTTTTGAAGAAGCATGACAGTCTTATTTTGTAAATACAGTATTTGGGTCCTGCTTGTATCTTAAACTGCTTCAACAAGAGATAAAAAATCCCATGTGCAGAGTAATTCTCCTTTTTAACTGGAGCTCAGGAACACATACAGCTCCTGCCCCTTAAATGTTGGCTCTCTCTAATTATTTATGCTTTGCTTGCTTACTGCAATATAATTGGTAATACATTATTCACAGTATATTGACTTCCATGTGCTAATCTCCATTTATGAAGTTCTCAATTTAAGAGCCAAAGACCTCTAGAAATCAAAGTGACAGCGTGATATCTACTTACTATATTTTTTAAAATCGTCTGAGCTACCTGAAAGAAGCCACCAAGTTCCCCATATAATCACATCACTGGAGCAGACGTTAGTGGAGGGAGGCAATTTTGTTAGACCTCCTTCGGAACACAAGAGGAAAAGAACAGTATTCAGGTGGTCTGGATGGATCCTCAGCTGTAACATTTACATTGTTCTTAGTGAATCAAAAATCTTGACTTAATTTTTATCTACAGGTTAAAGTTCACCTTCACCATTTGAGGCACAGCAGCACTGAGTTGTATTGTATATGGACAGGACTTAACTGACATATGATGCAGTATAAGCCAATATTCATCTAGTCCAAGTATTTTATGGTTTGTGTATGTGTGTGCAGCTATACAGAGAGTGTTTCTGCATTACAAGTTCTTACATTAATTATTCCTTGGACAGTAAACAACACGCTCAATTTAGTGTCAAACATAACATGGAAACTCTATCATGAAGCACGGATAAATATAAGAAATCCTACTGTGTGTTAGTCATTATTTAACTAAATTAAGACTAAATAAGGCTGTAGTAGTTAGGAAGAATTTTTACTCAAATTTTATTCGAAAAGCTGAAATGTTAAAACTATGTAAGTGAAGCAATGGGGAACAGAAATATAAACTCTTTTACTGACCTATCCAAGATTACAATTAATTTTGTTGAGTGCTAGACTTATTTGTAAAGTAACAAGACTAAAGAGGTTCTTACACTGCCATACCCTTCCAAAATATATTTCAGCAAACAATACAGAATTTTCAATGCAGCAATTTAAAAACATTTGCATTCAGTGTAAGGACACATCATTTTAGCATTAGCCTTTCCTTCAGTGTTCTTACATTGATTTTCATACCAGTAAACTTACAGTAAAAATAGGAAATGAACTATTGGAGAATGATCTAAATATAAAACACCTCATAGTCTGCTACAGTACTCTAAGGATTAAATGTGTCTCAGAAAGCCTTTACGAACAGTGTATCTTGAATTGTTAAAGTCAATACATCTGTAAGAATCCCTCAGTTCTTCAATTTGTCACATAGAGGATGGCTTTTTATTGATTCATTTCTAGGTCACTAAACTTTTGTGGTATTCAAAAGATCTAAAGTGCACCCATATGGGGCTTTTCTGGTAGCATCCATTGTACCCTGGTTTCAATAGTTACGTTTCTATTCAGAACCACAGGAGTACACTTTTTTCTCATAAATAAACAAACAAATCATTTAGCACAGGTACTTCAGTAGCTCACTGATTACTTTCACAGATAAATTGAATGAAATACTTTAAAGTATATTTACTTTCTGATAACACTTGGACTTACTATTTTGATGATTAAGGTAAATTCTCCACTCTCTTCTTTAATTTTCTAAATTACACCCACATTCAGAAAAACTGCCTCCTTTCTATATGTGTAGGAACTAACATTTAAGCCCATTTTAGTCAGCCAAGACACTCAAGCGTGGCCCTCATCTTTACTCATAGCCTCCATACTAAAGAGCTGTCCCATCAGCAGCCTTCATTGTGAACTTTACTTGTAGCTAATAAGGCACATAAACAAATAAGACTCTTGCAGCTGCAGACTCTTTTTCTGGGTCCAGTCACTGCAAGTCACACACCAGTCTGCAGCTTTCTCTGATTCTTTTTGAACAAAGAGTGTTGTACGGCTAAGTAGCAGGTGAGTAGCTAGCGAAGCGTAAAACTACACAAGAAAAAGAGATTATTTACCTAGAAGTTATGCATATTGTCTCCAGGACAAAACCTCTTCTGATCCTACAGATAAGGACATAAATAAAATAGTTTATTGTGATCATTGCCCACTGGTCTCTTTCCACGACAGCATGCTTTCATGCCTAACATAGTCATGAAGAAAAAGCAGCATTGTCAGTATCAGTGCAATGAATTCCAACGTGTTCCATGTTGAGAACTAAGGATAAAGACCAATTCCTATTTATGGCTCTTTTCACTCCTAGACTGTATAGGCTACTGAACACATAAGAGACACTCTCAGCACCTTTGTGCATGGACTGCCTGTAGCTACTGCTCAGAGAAATCAGTGGAGCATGAACTTAGATACAAAATTTTAAGGCATCGGTTTAGCTAGAGCACCAAAAACAAAAAAGAAGATATGAGTGAGGCACTGTAAATATATAATTTATATAAAAATTAAGGAAAAAATCTCATCTAATTATGGAAATTGATACATAAAC